TGGCTGGTCCTGCAGTCAGAAACAGCTTCCTGTGCTGCAAAAGCATACTCCTTTTTCCCCTGTCTCTTGCCTCAAGCGTCTTCTCCTTGTGTCTTTCCTCTAAGGCCCTGGAGTTTATAAGTCCTGGCATCAACACCTGGTTTCTTTGTTTGACTGCTGAGAAAATGCCACTGCCCATAGCCCCTGTAGGGAAAACGGTTTCCCCTACACATCAGCTATCCCATACTTCTGTCTAGGCTAAGTCTATTCAGCAGTTAATAGCCTTTAATCACTTTGCTTCAACAACACAGCTATAGGCACCATGCCACTGCTTCTTGCCACAAGAAGTATGAGGCAGTACACAGTAAAAGACAATCATTAGACATCAGAACACAGATAGTTCATAACATCAAACTGGATTTCAAAAGCCATTCAAAGATAGATTCCCTCAAATTACAAAAGTGACCAGTTTTGTTTATTTAGTGGGTTCATTATGTTATCTAATGGACAATGAAGTTTGGTGTAACATATGCACACCTGGACATGATCAAATAATCCACACCTTTCCCTAAATCAGTGGAGGCTGACCTTTTTGGGAGACATGCCATAAATTAACCCCACACCTTTCCTGAGTGCCACCCCTATCTTCTCCCCCTACCAGACTAATGCTCTCCTTTCTGCTCCCTGCCATATCTGCCTCAATTTGTTACCTGTCTATTCCATGATCTGTTGTGTGCTACAGGGAAGCTGCCCATTCCATCTATGTCACACCTGCTGCAGGTTGACCACCCCTACCATATGCTATCATTATAGGGAAAAAGAGAGCATGCTGAATTAGAACGGGAACACAATGGGACACAGACATTCTGACTTCAGTTCTGTTTTGTGAGACCCTGGGCAGGTCATTACATCTCTCTGTACCTCAGTTCCCCACCTGTGAGAAGACAGCAATCAATCTTCTAACCTCATAAATGTGTTGCAGGAATGAATTCAACTAGGTTTGGAGGGCTGGCAGGTAAAACAGTGATCATAACTCCATAAGCACTTCACTAAATAGGACCTACAATGCTAGGCACTAACATTTAAAGAAATTGCCTAAAGCCATGAGAGAAGCACTGGAGTTTACTTGCAGTTCCATGTCTATCAAGCTGATGTTCTTGGAGTTGCTCAGCCCACTAAATCCAACTCTATTGCTCTCTGTAGATGGGTAGGATTTAACATCACCCTTATCCAGGTAGGATTCAACTGTCCTAGTTGGACTTTGGCACAGTGAGAGGCCTTGAGGTAACATGAAGTGCAACACTTTAACTAAGGCAAAACAGCACAGCCAGCTTGCAAAGGCAAACGTGGTCCTGTGAATGAGACATCTGTAGCAGAAGTGACTCTAATGAGAAATTCTGTCACATTCCATATGCTTTGAATGATCTGGGAAGTTTGCAGATGCAGCCAAATTCACCCAGATGCAGAGAGAGGCAAACCCCACTGTACCAAATTAAAGCTAGTAGCTGCAGGCATAAATTGAGTGATGAAAAGTTATTGGAAGTGAACTGCCACCTTTCAAGGATGAAAAGATGACAAAGCTAGATGAGGAATAGATTGCATATGGTCCTAGGAGTGACTGGGGGACAAAGGGATCCTTGTCAATCATCCTAGAGAGGAAAGATGGTCTAGCGATTAGGACGTTAGCTTAGGAGTAGAAGACCTGGGTCCAAGTCTTTGATTCTTCACACACTTCCCATCAAACTTGGGGCAGGTCACTTAGCCTCTTTGTGCCCCATTTCCATGTCTGTCAAGTGGGAGTTACAGCATCTCCCTGCTTCTGAGAGGTGTTATGAGGATAAAGATTGCGAGGTGCTGCACACATATCTAAATGGAACAACGTAGTGCTGCACAGAGGGAGGCCTGAGCTAGATTAGGTAGTGAAATAACCTGAGCTACATTAAAACAGATCTTTACATGGGTTAATTAGCTGTGTTGAGAAGCAGAGTACAATAGCCCAGATGGACCACCTCAGTAAGTTTGCCATAGTGCTTCCATCACCTCAGGACTGTCCAGTGGTAGCCCATTGGCCAAATGTGACCCATGAGGGGTTAAATTGTGAGCACCCTTCCCCCCAGCCTCCTGCCCTCCTAGTTTCTTTCCAGCCATTACTCCCCACATTGCTCTGGCTTCAAAAGCAGCTGTAGTCTCCAGGCTCTCCTTCCCTCCTTCAGCCACTGCTTCCTGCCTCTGCCTCAAAATGCAGGAGAGTGCAGTGCAGCACAGGGAGTCAAGGGTATGCCTGGCGCTGCAGCAGGGGGTGGGGGTGTCAAAGAGAAACACAGGTGCATGGTGTAGCAGTGGGGCGGGAGGCAGTTATGAGCATGAGGTGTAGTAGTGGGCTTGGTTATGGACATATAGTGCACTGGGGACGGTCACTGGTGCACTTTATTTGGTGGGGGCAGAAATTGCAGGCACAGGAGCAGCAGTGTGGCGGGACATCCATGAGGTATGTGCTCCAAAGAGGCCGTGGCTCACCCAGGTGCAGCTTAGAGGGTGTGCAGCCCCACTACTGTGGCCTGTGAAGCAGGCGGCACCTGGCCACTTGGGAGCTAGACAGCCCTGCATTACCTAAACAATACCAGGTGTTTTTGCATGGAGCTGCACTGTGCTGTGAGTCATGTGTACACACCCTCACATCAGTGACAAAGCTAGATATGGCATTGGTTTTGAAGATGGACAGAATGTCCTCAGATTGTAGTCAGACAAAGCACTTTACTGATATATACAAGGGCAAGAGAAGGAAACTTACTGCTGGAGAGTGTCAGTCCATTGCAACTGTTACCTGTGTATGTTCCTATCCTGCAGGAAGTAGCACAAAAATAAAGCAGTTTACAATAGAATGAATCAGGCGCTAAGACTGCCTATACCCATGCTGGGGGCAGGGATTGGGGTAGGAGCCTTTTAATTAGAGCAGTTCCTGGAGAGCCACTGTAATTAAAATGCTGCAGCATCATAGGTATTAAGTCCCCATACATTTAAAAATGGCCACAGGATGCTTTAACTAAACTTTGTTTGACCAGTTTTAGTTAAAGCACCCCAGTGGCCATTTTCAAACCTGTGGGGGCATATACACATGATGCTTTGTCGATTCTAGAGCATTTTCAGTACAACACATTGGAGCACATGTATACGCACCCTAAATTACCACAGTGTAGTTTCCAGTTACTGTGGGATTGGAGCACACACATCAAACTATAACAACAGATCAACTTAAAATATAGTAAATTTACCTCCATTTCTAAACAAAGATAACTGCTTTGATTGTCTATGCCCCTAGTGTCATAATGGCCTTTGAGTAAGATCAGCATCTCGTCCTGTATTTCTCTAAACTGGAAAATTAATAAATAGTGCCACATGATTCTCCATATACTAACCAGATTATGGAGAGCAGAAAAGGTTTCAGCCATAGTAGATCCAAAAACTTTATTATTATTTTGAAGGGTCAAGCCCCTGGAAGGGTTAAGTCCCTTCATATGTTCATATGACAATTTTATTTGGATTATAATGACATGTGATGGGTTCAGTTGAAATCAGGACTTCACTGGGCAATTGAACTGGGTGCAGTTCATACACATAATAAAATTTCACATCATCTTCATAATTCAAATGCACAAAGCAAGGAAATACTAGTATTCCCATGTTACAGATGGGCAAGCTAAGCCCAAGAAAATTAAATGACTTTGCAAGTTGTCACATAGGATGTCTCTGGCAAAGTTGAAGCTGGACCCAGAACCCCTCATCTTTAATCCCATCCACTAGTCACAGGACTATTCTTTCATATCTTATCCTTGAGTGGAGATCCATTGTTGATTGCATACCAGCAGTGCTGACTTTAAATGTGATTGCTTTTGTAACAATGGAAGAGTAGTGCACATTGTCAGTTGAAACATCTATATATAATTTTAATTTGGCAGTTCCTTTCTCTTTTGTTATCCTAGTGTTTTTTCAATTGTTTCTGCAAACAGCATAATATATCTATAGTGACTATGAGCCTAAGTCATCCCTGGTGTAATTTGATCAATGTCATAATTATTGTTTATTTGTCAAATAATTTCCATTTATTTGTAGGATAGGATAAATTGCCTTTCTTCAAACATGTGAAAGGCATACAAAAATAGATTCTTTGGGATAGTGAGCTGGTGTTCACCCCAATATATAATTTTTCAGGCATATATTGCCAGATACATGGGTACCTCATACAGAAAAAACTGTACATGTGTGTGGGGCAGGACATGGAATGGATTGTTCTTAAATGGCAACCAGGGGTGCACTCGCTCAGTAGATACATTCACCACTTATTGCATACCTATTTGCATGTAAACTAGTACCTTTGCCCAACCTGACCAAAGACTCCTTCAGTAAACACTTGTTCAGGTACCAAGGTAGGAGATAAACAGCAAAGATGCAATGTGAAAGATTTCAGAATTTCCTTTCCATCCCTGCTCCATTTTTGACAACGTCACAGAGAACAGAACAACTTCCAGACTATGCAGCATCTAGTCATATTTGTATGCGGAAGATAGACACTCCCTAAATAGGAAAGCAATTGCCCCAAATTACCCTCATTTATCTGCTACCCAAAAATATTTTCAGGTTTCTCCCTACTCGTCAGTTTGAACATCTGAGAGCTATCAGTCCACAGGATAGCATTTATGTGCATTAAAAAAATAAAAATCACCTGAATATCTCTGAGCAGTGAACAGATGTATAAAACAGTTGTATTTGTGAACATTTTTCAGAAGGAGAAATGGGGTAAAATTTGTTCCATTTACTTTTTTACTAATACTTTGCCAAGCACTAATCTATTCCCTTTCCCTAAACAGCAGAGGCATAACTTGGCAGTTTTGCACCCTGGGTGGTAGCAGCACACAGGACAGTGGCCACAGCAAGTTTGGCCAGCAGCGGTACAGCAGCTGATATTTTTGGGCCCACTTTGGTACACTAGTGCCATCCAGGGCACAATCCGTTCGTTTGTTGCATAAGTAACAGTGTAACATTCAAGATTCAAATTTATTTTTTATTCCTCCAAGCAACAGCTGACAAAATCCCTTATTCCAGATTGTCTCTTAACATTACATAGTCAGACTGCATATTCTGGGCATTCCACCAGCATCAGTACTCTTGGGTGGGGGTGATCAGTAAAAGGAAAGACAGGATGGGGCAGGAATCACTCAAATAAAGCAGCAGACGCCTTTGGGAACTTTTCTTTCTATATGCACACTACTTGGCCTTCTCTGAGGTCTGTGATCCTATCAGAAATGATTCCTTGAAAACTGCAACATGCACAAGATCACTATTTGTTCTGAATACTGCACAATATATGACTGCCCTGGTTATAAAGGAGCATATAAATTACTCTATATAATTAAGCCAGTAGACCTATCCAATGAATATATCCCCTGTGGAACAGAAGTTATTCACAGTCATAACTTGAGCTATTCACACAATCTACCTGAGAAGAAATATCTTTTTTTCTGCAGAAGTAGGAAGCATTAGTGGTAACCCAATCTAGCCATACTCATAAATAAATACCTATTGAAAATGAAGCTGTTAAAAGAATAAGATGTCTGGGCATTGGGTTTCTACAGAAGTAAACTCTGAATTTATGTCTGGCCAGATAAAATATTTTTCTATTTTAAACCTGTTCTGGAATATACTTTATTTGTGTTCCAGTCTCCTGGTTCTCCATACTCCTTGTCTATATTCAGAGGCTGTGGCATTCTGTAACATAATCAAGAACATCTTCAGTGTTGACTTCATCCAGCAAGCATTCTGGTCATAAAGAAAGTAGTATAAACAACAGTTGTTCAGCTCAGGAGTGTGGCTAGCAATATAAGTACCCCAGTGATCCCATTCTACAACATCCATAACATACGTGCAATGTTCCAAGGAAAATCAGGCATTACACATTGATCGTGGAAGGTGCTGGGCACAAGAGCTCAGCCACACCTTTCAGGATCAGGACCATTAAGACCAAATCAGGAAGGCCCTAAACACAGGTCTCAATTGTAAATGAGTGAATAGTCCCATTTCAGACCATGGGATTACCTGCATGCTTAAAGACTTTCCTGAACTAAAGACTAACACAGGATGAAGCATGTTTTGTCAGGTGCTGGGTTTTATCAATCACTATATTGAGTGCCCACAGCTATCACTGAATAGGTGCTACTCAGCAGTTTGTTGGTTCAAACCCAAAGCACAACCACGTAAAGATCTAGGTGATATGTAGATGTGACAGAGAATATAGAACTCTATTTACACCCAGGTAAAACAAGCTGCATGCCAAACAATTTAACTTATAGCATACCTGCTTAGTTCCAGGTCACCCCAGCAAAAACCTATAATTTAAAGTACGTCATCTCCAGCAGTCAACACAATGGATCTCTACGTCGCTCCATGCCTTAAGTGCAAGATATAACAGCCTGGATTAATGACAGTTTAAAAAAATAAGAAAAAAACCCTTTTCACAATAAATTTCTCATAAAAAATTACATACCCTGAATGGATTCAGCAGCAAAATAGCAGCTGTTCATCGTTTGGGTGTTTTTTTGTGGTATTTTTTATACTAATTAATATGCCGATCAGATTCTTGTAATCAGAAGCAAGGGACATTAATCTCATAAAACATGTAAACTGTAGTTTAACAGAGCTAAAAGGAAAATGTTAGCAAAAACTGTAGCTTTTTCCCTTCTTTTATTTCAATGGCTCAGACAGCAACTGTAGGTCATGTCGAAAGTGACTGAAGGTCATTACCATGGGGCCCAGAGTAGTTCAGGGAACTGGTAATGGAATGTGGAGCCTTTCATCTCTCATTCATTGGTTTAAATCCTGTCCAGAGAAGCAAAAGCTGAAAGTCAATACCTTTGTCATCTCTACTGGAGCTCATATGAAATAGGTTGGCTCGTAAACTCAGTCCAGGTCCTCGTGGGCAGGTTCCTCTCAGAAAAATTATTGTTGCAACCAGCATCTTTGCTAAAATAAGTAAAGGGGCCAAGGATTTCAGCCAGTTTCTACAAAAATCAATATCAGTCCTTCCAATGTTCACTGAAGCAGACCCCCAATGACTTCAGAGATTGGCCTTTTTCTTACCTCTAAAGAAGATCCCTTTCTGATACACTGGTTAGAGTCTGGTAGCAAAAACTTGGACTGCCACTGCTTGTGCTATACTTGTTCTATAAGTAAAAGACATATGGATGAGATCTTCATGACGGACAAGAGATTCTGAAGCTCAATTTGAGATTCCTACAAAGAGCTTGATTCAACAAGAGCAGGTGTTTAGTACTTCCTAATAACAGATCTCCTTTAAAATATTGTAAAGTGGGACCCCCAAAAATGGAATCATCCCTTACATGCGTACATACACACACGCACGTCTTGACCTTTCATCACTAGAGGTGTCGCTCTAGCACTTAAAGAAAAAAATAATTTTGGAGTTTTGTTTTTTTTCTTCATATAGTTCTGTTCATATAGTTTTGTTTCTCCATATAGTTACATTCTACTAAGTTTTGGACTTTGGCAAGTTTAAATTCATGTTTGGTGCCTTTATTGTATTTGAACAGCTTAATCATAACTAAACATCTCCATTATGACTGGAAAAATACAAGGGACTGCTTTAAAAATGTGCATAGAAGCATCAAGTGTGCAAAAGGAGTGTGAGTTTTATGAAACAGGTTGGTCTCCAGTGACAAAAAGAATTAGCACTAATTGGGCCTTTTTTGGGCATAGGAATACACACATATATCTTCTGAAGGAACAGAACCCTAACCATCTCCATTACAGTCAATCAAGAAATGCATTCACCATGATGATTACATCAGATCTGGTTTAAGTTTGCCCAATAGGATTTGTCATCTAATCTTCCATGAATAGATCCAGTCACATGAGGTTAAATCTAGTGAGGTCAATCCAGTGATATACACACAAACAAAACAACATTCACAGAGTCTTGGAAACAACCAGGTATTTATGGCTTTGCTATCAGAAAAGAGGCATTGGGCTGGTGAAGCTCTTGGCTGAAACTTATTTTTGTGCTATTCCAGAAGCACAGATTGTCTAGCCTTTTTTTTTAATTTCCATGACTACGCTGCCATGAATTATTTATCAAATGTGCAATTATCAAATATGTAGCTGTCTGAAGACCAGATAGAACTACAGAGTTATATTCAACTTGAAGCTTAATACTCCTTAATGAGAATAGCATATTTTCAGATCTGTCCAATAGTTGTGAACACTTTAATTTTCATATCCATGCATTTGATTACAGTAATGCCAAACCTGAACCATCAGCCTAAACACTCAAACTTGTAGAAGATGAGAACCATATCCAAACTGTGACACTAGAACTTCTATACTGACATTTTCAAACCAAGAGATTCACTAGAAGGAGTAACTCCATAATAGACTTTCAGAGTTGCTAAGCTAGTCCCTTAGGTAATGGTACTACCATGATCACACAGTGGGCTCCTGGATGGCACCTACATTTAAAACTTTCATCTGTGCAAGGTACAGAAAATCTTATTGTCAAACTTCTGCCTTCAGTTACAGAATTTGTCATGTTGACTAAATCTTAAGGTCTTTGGACCAGACCTGACATGATTTTTGATGCAAAAATCTCTCTTGACAAGCAATGTAAACTGGTCAACAATCACAGAAGCATGTATGTATATGTAGCCACGCTTATATATATCTATCCATGTTCACACTTTAAGTTTTGTTTTGTATATGTAAGGCAGCTTTGTATATGTAAGGCATTTGGGATTTATGTAAAAGATGAAAAGGCTTTACGGGACAAACCATAGTTTTAATGAAAATGTCCATAAATGTAACATTCACCAATGACTGCCACTCTTTCATATTATTTGAGCATGTGTATTTAGCATATATGTACACACACATGCACAAGCACAGTATTCTCTTGGTATTAGAATAATACCATCTTTCCTTATTCCTTTAACCATTTAAAAGGATAAAAGTGCTAATCAAATATAGCTTAAACATTAACCTATATCAATTAGAGACCATCTATCTCCCACATGACAGCTGTCAGCTAAGTCATATCATAAGTACAGTAAGACTCATTTCAATTCTGGAAAAGGGCACTCAGGTTTCAAGCACTGGTTTGGTGTCCTTACCCCAAAGAGGATCAAATTTGCGAATAATGCATTTTGAACATAAGATAAGATGCAACTATGAATGGCTTTGGAACCTCAAAGCGCAACCAATCCTGTAAGACCTTGAGTGATTTTTGTAAGGTGCTGAGCACTTTCTATCCTCAAAGCTTGATCCCATAAGGTCTACATCTATTTCAAATGGGACATGCATGTATCCATTCAGTCTTAGGATAAAGCTTTATCACCAGGGAATGGAGACCAAAGCCCTGAGGTAAGCAGGGAAGCAGGTGACCCAAAGAAAGCACAGCAGGAGGGTGTACCAGGGGAGGCCTCCTCATTCCTACTGAGAAAGTTAGGCAATAAGCTAATTATCTCAGGTGTCTGTACACAACTGCATGGAGCCTGAGAAACACGAGAAAGAACTAGAAGTCTTCACACAGTCATGGAATATGATGTAATTGAAATAACAGAGATTTGGTAGAATAGCTCGCCTGACAAGAGTAATGGCATGGATGGGTATAAACTGTCCAGGAAAGACAGACAGGGAGGAAGGGGAGGAGGAGTTGCTATTTACATAAAAGAGACTGCTCAGAGCTCCAGAATTGAATTGAATATGGGCCTGTTGAAAGTCCCTGGGATAGGGTCAAAGCAACAAGGGTTGGGTATCTTTTATATATCAGCAGACCAGAGAGATGAGGTAGATGAGACTTTCTTCAAACAGCTCCTGCAAGTTTCCTGATCACAGGCCCTAGTTCTCAGGGGGGACTTCAATCACCCTGACATCTCCACATAGGGCAATACAGCAGTGCACAGGCAACCCAGGAAATTTTTGGAGACTTTTGAGACAACTTCCTGGTGCAAGCGTTGGACTGACCAACTAGGGGCCATATTCCTCTTGACCTGCTGCTCACAAACAGGGAAGAATTGGTGGGGGGGATAATAGTGGATGGCAACTTGGGCAGCAATGACAACAAGATGATTGAGTTCAGGATTGTGAAGAAAGGAAGGAAGAAGAGCAGCAGAGTAAGGACACTAGATTTCAGAAAAGCAGACTTCTACCCATCCAGGGAACTGATGGGCAGAATCTTCTGGGAGGCCAGTCTGAGGGGGAAAGGAGTTGTATTTTCAAGAAACATTACTGAGGGCACTGGAACGAACCATCCCAGTGCACAGGAAATCTAGCATGTATGGCAGAAGACCCGCTTGGCTTAGCAGGGAACTCGTCAGTGAGCTGAAACACAAAAAGGAAGCTTGAAAGAAATGGAAACTTGGACAAACAAGTAGGGAGGAGCATATAATTACTGCTCAGGCCTGCAGGGATCAAATCAGGAAGGCCAAATGCACTTGGAGTTACAGCTAGCAAGGGACGTGAAGGGTAACAAGAAGGGTTTCTACAATTAGGCCACCAACAAGAGGAAGGTCAGGGTAAGTGTTGGTCACTTACTTCATGGGGAAGGCAATCTACTGACAGATGATGCAAAAAAGGCTGAAGCAGTCAACACCTCTTTTACCTCACTCTTCACAGGCAAGGTCAGCTCCCAGACTACTGCATGTGACAGCACAGTTTGGGGAGAAGGTAAGCAGCCAACAGAGGGGAAAGAACAGTTTAGAGAGTATTTCGAAAAGCTGGATATGTAGAAGTCCACGGGGCTGGACATGTTGCACCCAAGAGTGCTGAGGTTGTTCGCCAATGTGATTGAAGAACCTCTGGCCATTATCTTTGAAAACTCACAGCAATTGGGAAAGGTCCTGGATAATTTGAAAGGGCAAGTATAGTGTCCATCTTTAAGAATGGCAAGAAGGAGGATTCAAGGAACTAGTCACCCTCACCTCAGTCCCTGGAAAAAATCATGGAGCGAGTCCTCAAGGAATCCAATTCTAAGTACTTGGAGGACAAGGTGCTCCAGGGATCCTGGTTTTCTCTGTTTCAAAATTGCAAATTCTCTTATTTGAGAGAGTGGGGAACAAATTCTCTGATTAAAAATCCCCAAATCCACATTTTTCCATGATTAAAATGGAACACTAATTGAACATAATGTTTGATATATTTAGAATTTGTAAGTAATTTGGAAGCCTACCAGTGCCTCAATCATGAAAATAAAATACATTCTAAATACCTATAAATTTTGACATTTGATTTGGGGGTTCTTATCATGGAAAATCAGAGCTCCCCCTGCCCCCTTCATTCACCAGGACATGGGTCCAGCTCCAGCTCAAGCTCCAGCTGTCCCCTCTCATTGCTTTGTGGTGCATACAGAAGTTGGGAGCCAGCCCCGCCCCTAGATGAGCTGCCTACAGCTCCGTCCTACTCCCTGCCTGGCCCCGGAAGCTACACATTCCAGCCCTGGGCCTCAAACTCCTCACACCACCTGGGCTCCACCTCCACAGCCCCAGCCCTGCCCAACTCCCTCCTTCCCTCACTTTGGGGGCCTCAATTTCTGCCCACTCCCCCACCAGACTTAACTGCAGGAGCTGCTCTCCAGACTGCCTGGTGACCATGTGCAAGTGTATGTGCAGCCATGCACATGGCGCCCCCCTGCCTAACCGCCCTCCTCCCATTTCCCCCAGCTCCTTGCAGGCTGGAACTCTGCCAGCCTGCAAGGGGAAACCCTCCATTTCCCCTGTTTTTCTCCTTTAAAAGAGAAAATCCAGGTTTTACCACGTTTTTCTGTCACAGAAGGAAAAACCTGATCTCTGGTGATCAGAAACAGTCAGCATGGATTCACCGAGGGCAAGTCATGTCTAACCAACCTGACTGCCTTCTATGAACACGATGACTTGCTCTGTGGATGTGGGGAGACCAGTGAATGTGATATACCTTGACTTTAGTAACAATTTTGATAATAGTTTCCCACAACACTCTCACAAGCAGGCTAAGGAAGTACGGGTTGGATGAATGGACTGTAAGGTGGATAGAAAACTGGCTGAGTCATCAGGCTCAGAAAGTAGTAATCAATGGGTCGATGTCTAGTTGGCAGCTGGTATCACGTGGAGTGCCCCAGGAGCTGATCCTGGGGCTGGTTTTGCTAAATATCTTCATCAATGACCTGAAAAACAGGGTGGT